TAAATACCACTCTCTGCTTGAGTTCAGATTTAGACCCTAAGGTGGGAATGAACTGGAGTTTCCTAAGCTTTCATGCATTTCATCCTCACAACCTGTTGTGACCCTACTTACTTAAATTTTCCATGATAGCCATAGAGTAAAACTAGGGATGTTTCTAATTCTGATTGCCTATCAGTACAGCCACCAACAGTTCATTTCAAGAGCTAATCTTACTCAGGTTCAGTTATGGAGTGGTCTCAGTGTTTTGAAATACATGTACAGTGTGTATAAAAAAGACATGGAAACAGCAGCAAAATTATTTTTAAATATGCCAGATCTGAACAAGCAGACTGAGAGATCTCAATTTGCTATTTATTCGCCGAATATCTCTCTGAGATTTTATCTGAATGTTATTTATTGTAAAAATAAAATGTATTATGTAAATGTAAGTTTAACATCATTTGATATGACTTGAGATAAAATATGATAAAAATATAATGAAGATGAATTACAGGACTTCTGGTAAAATGCAGCATACATGTTTATTTTGGACAAAGAAAACCAAGGCTCTATTTGAAGAGATGCAATTAAATGCATATATTTAGATTGTATTGTCATGCTAATTAGAAATGGTAGGAACCAATTAGGAGTAGGGCTACCAAATCATCAGACTAGACTGCGTATTCACTAGTATACCTTTACTGCTCTACTGGTTTTCTGCTGGAAGCAGATAAAAATGAAATTACTTTTTTTTAAAGTCCATGTTGTTGTGCATTTTGAGCCAGATTTTGATCTTTCATAAATTCTCCCACAAAAGTGACTGGAACTACTTGTGTGAGAAAAACAGGCTCTGGCTATAGGAAATATAGGTGGCTGCTTTAGGTAGCAATTAAAAATACAAGATGCAAAAGCCCTTCATTCAGTGCAAATGGCTATTTGAATAAGGGAGGTTGGTAATCTGTCATTTGCAAAATGCTGGAAGTGAGATTTTCATTAAACATACTATGTCAACAACATGTATTTCTCAGCATTACACACCTCATTTATCATTCTGGAATGAGGACCAAGTGCCATATGAATGTAGAGTTTGTGAAGGTATCGCCTCACAACCCTGGAGGCTGATGACCTGTCTTTATCTACACAGCAGGTAAGGCACAAACAGTGGCAATGTGAGCTCTCCCTGCAGTCCCCTGCCAGTGTGCCTGACTGCTGAGATGAGGGAACAAAGGAAAGATAGCATATGGATAGCAGATTGTAGTGTGCTGAAAGAGGACTGAGGAAATCTATGTTGGGTGTGTGGCTCTGCCAAAGATCTCTCGTCTGACTTTGGCCTTGTCACTTAATCTCCTTCTGTCTCCATTCTCCTTTGCAAACAGGGAGAAGGCATCTCTCCTATCCCCCAGGCTTTGCCTGGAAATCTGTTCAGACCCCGAGTTCTCTTGAATGGTGTGCTTGTGCAGCATGGGGCTGGAGGAAGACTGAGCTTCATTGAGTGCTCTAACTGCTGCTATCATCCAAATAATAGGAATTGCTATTAACAGAAGAATGACAAAGAAATCCATGTCTTGATAGATTTTACTCTTCTTTTCAGGCCATTCAATCTTTGGCCTCTGGGTGAAGGGTATGAACAAGACAGACAATTAGAGTCAAGAGCAGATCTGTGAGTTCTTCATTTATAGGGTTCCAAATAATGCTGGGAAAAGTGGCATTGATGTTCTCTTTTTTTCACCTGTCTCTTAATGCCTTTTGAAGGCATTTGTGCCAAAATAACATTACAGTGTTTCTGCAACACACCAACTGAAGTGCTGTGCAAAAGGCTCTATTTTGCTTTACTTTGGCCCTGGAGATGGCTCCCTAAGGTATAAAAAAAAGCCCTCAAAAAATGTAAAGGCTGGGGCAGGGACTGTAGTTTCTACATCTCTGTTATACACTGTACATATTTATGAGGCAGTATAAAGAATATATAATAATCCACAAACAACTGCATTCTGTACCCTTGTCTAACAGTTGTGCTGATGCATTACGTGATCTAGCTGATGCTAACGAAACCAGGATCTGTTTTTTAGCTTCACCTGAAAGGTGTGTTCTTTTTGCCACTGAAATTTTGCAAATATAAATAATTTCATGTGTAATTTTTCAGACATACCCATTAATGGATATAACTGATGCCTTTTTTTGACAAGATTTTTCAGAGCAGACATAGAAATGGAATTTCAAAATTATCTGGCTGCCTAAAGTCTCTGTGCTCGTATGTCTTTCTAAGCATATGATAGTGTGTCTTTACTTCCAACAGAGTGTTGATAGTCTGGGGGACATCTTTTGCACCAGCAGTTACCCATGTGTGCAAAAGAAAATAATAAAACCAGAAATCGAACCCAGCACTATTTTTGCAATTTTTACTGGACAAATAAAAAAAGTTTTACTTTTATAGCTGTTTTTTCTCTAGGGAAAAAAAGATTGGGGGACTCACTATTAGGGCTTTAACTCCCATTTCCAAAACAACTAGTAAATTGCCTCTACATAGAGTTCACAGTGAAAGGCTGGCTTTATTCACATCACTGGAATAAAATAAGGCCAAGCCCTTCTGGAGAAAAAGACTGGGCAAGACTGGGTTTTCAAAACCCAAAGTGGAGTATCCCCATCTGCATGCTCATGGAGGTAAAGCATTTGTCACCTGAAACCCTTCAGGACTTAGAATTTTCTTAATGCTTTGCCTTGTTGTGTGAGCTCATTGAAAGAACACTTCAGAGGGCACCCATTTCTTGCTAATGTAAACTTTCTGAGGAGTATCCAAAGATATGACCTCTGGGTGAACCTTTAACCTTCCCCTTAATTATTTGTTTGAAGACAGTGTCGAGTTCTCCTGCTGAGAGCCAAGGCCCATAATGCCTCACAGCCCTGTGAGCCAGGGTGTGTGTGCAGGGAACTGGAGAGGGACATAAATAAGGGGACCACCAGATGTAAATAATAAAAGTGGTTGGGGTTTAAATAAAAAACGAAAAAGCAATTTGGTTTCCCTGAAGAGTGGCCTGATTGAAGAAAAGGGGTTAGTAAGGCAGAAAGTGTGTGCGTGGGGGGATGTTTCTGTTGTCTGTGATTTTTTACAGGCCTAAATAGGCGTTCATTGCATTCTTTAAAACTTTGCCATATGTATACACCATTAGAAGCTCATAGGAGGAGAGAAAACAGTCTTATCAGGCTTTCCTGTTAATCTCTATTGGCCTTAACTTCAGCTGATAAAAGGTGCATTGGATGGAAGAGGTTCAGGTCAGGCTCCATTTGGTCAGCGCAGTAATGTTCTTAAAAGTAGCTCAGCAAATTAGGTCCTGTCGGGGACCTTTGTCTTTGGGAATGGAAACACCTTTCAAAATCACCGCACTGGGGTAGGAAATGCCTTCCTTGTGCTGCAGTCAGAAGGGAATAAACAAGTACATCAACTGTGTCTGATTTTTTATCTTAATACCTGAAGTCATGACTAATTCTGAGGCAGGATGACATTTCTGACAACTGAATTATACTTTTCCTAAAGAGTAAAGAATGTCTTTTGGATGTAAACAGAGATGGAAAAGAGCCCTGTAGTGGTACTTGTAGCATTTATGCATCTGTCTAATGAAATTTCCATGACTGTGATTACGGAAGATGCAATCGAAGGTGTGCCACTGTCTTTTATTATCAGTGGAGGAATTTAACCAGGGGGTAGGAGGGAGGGAAAGAAGGAGGGAAGCCAACAAAAGGCCTTGCTGAGTTGATGCTATATAAAGGCTAGCAATTTTCTAAATGAGCAGATGAACTTAGTTTTCAGTTAACTGACTGAAAGACTTCGCTAAGCGTTGGATCTGGCCCAATGGCAATTATTGGAGGCTGTTTTGGATGATGGGCATGTTAGTATTTCTGAAGAGGATTAAACACTAGTATTCGACTTCATTAGCACTCCTTAAGGGTCACCAGCCGAAAGCCTGAGCTGTGAAATAGCACACAAAACCTGCACGAAGGCTCCAAAGTGTTCTCAAAAACAAAGAGGGGGTACAAAAACAAGTGTGGTTCCTGAGTGATAGAAAATTACCCTGTTTTGAAAGAAGTTCTGTGAATAGGCAGGTTTTAAAATTATTTTAGGGAAATTAATTTGACTTAGCTTGTGCCGATGTGGATCGCTGCGCATTAAGCTAATAAGAAATATGTAAGCACTTATTTTTGGATTACCAGCAAAATTAAATCCAGGCTCCACAGCCAACTAACTGCCTTTACCAGTGCTCACAAGCTGTGGCAACTGCCCCGGTTTGAGATAAAAAAAAAAAAGAAGAAAGGTTATTTTGGGCCTAATATTAACCACATGTACCTGTGGCTGGGGGTTTCTAACGAGTTGAAAGGTGCCCAAGTTTGGGGCGGGCGGCTGCCTTGCGCAGGGTGTCCCAGCTCAGCCGCAGAGGTCATCCCCAGCTGGCACTGACCTCCAAACGACCCCCGCCTTTACAGGCTCCAACTGCAGGAGTTGCAGAAGAGCAGAAGTCTTTCTGGGCCGGCACTTACTGCTGCTGCGCTGGTGATAAAACTTCAGACAGCCTAATTGATGGCTTTGCTGACCTAAGGATACCTTGTGAAAGCACAGAGTGGCAAAGCCTGGTCCTCATTTATGGCCAGCTGCAAGGGTAGCTGGATCCCTAGGATGGAAGGGAGGGGGGGAAGGCTCCCAGCCTGTGAGCTTTAACCAGGTTCCAAGCCACTCAAAGAAGTTAAAGAAACATTTTCTTCTGACTCGGGTTTTTGGTCACATTTGCTTGTCCAAAGCCTTCTGGCAAATCCAGCTTTAAACTGTCTAGTAAGATAAGTGTGTTACCAGGTACAATTTTGGAGCACTTAGAGGAAAATCCTTTAAAGTGAAATTATACTCTTTTTAAAAAGCAATGAAATGCAAAACACATTGCTGCACCACGCTGAAATGCTGTCAGTTTTAAAGCAGAGGTGTTCTCAAAACACACAAGCAAGCTGATGAAAGGACTTCTATTCTTTGTATTCTGTTGCAG